CAGAGTTTTTGAAAAGTCATTCAGATGACATTGAAAAGCAGTATTGTAATAGTAAGTGAGGTTTCTGAACTGAACAAATAGAGTATACATGAAATCAAAAACAAGTCAAATATCTGCTTGGTATAATAATAATAGCATTAATATTTTCAGTAATCGCTGGGATCGGATATATAGACAATGCTGAATAGGACGTAGAATCACACACAATTTCTTAATATCAAATGATATGATTCTTGCCAGAGTCCAGTATCTCTTAAACATATTTTATTAAACTGTGCTGGTGTAAGCGCTGTAAAGAAATTATCTTACTCTTAAATCATTTTTTAACAGAGTCAACCTTGAATCTATTATAACTAAAGCAAACTGATAAAGGTTTACATTTTTTTTTTTTTCAACATGAAAATAGCTGGCATGGCGTTAAAACACCAGCCAATCAACAGTAAGCTATCACTACTACTACTACTACTAGTAATAATATTAGTATTAATAATATTAGCAATGATAATAGTAAATAATAATAATCAAGGTCACCTTGCACAAAATGAGCAAAAACAAACAGAGGAATCAAACCAAGAGAACAATATAAAATAAATACAGAACATAGTTAGAAATAGTTACACAAATTGGAAAGCAGAATATAAGAAGCGGCAGCAAATGCAAAACAAAATTGCAGAATCAAATATAAAACATAAGCAAAGAAGAAATTATGTATGTTAAGAAACTTGGACTGAATATTATATCCATTTTGTATATTAACACACAGGACATGTCCTCCCAAAAGATAATTTTTTCATATGTGAGAATAAAGGAAGAATAAAGATCAAGAGCTAGTCTGAGAATTGTGTTGTGAACAGGTGATAGAAACAGCCGTCAAGGATACAGTAAATTAACATACTTTCCAGAAGGCCAACAATTCACTAAAAATGTTTTTTTTATTGGTCTTCATAAGTACTTCATTACTTATGAAGTATTCTAATTTGTTGTGAATTGGTGGGTTTTTGTTAAATGTGAGCCAAAATCATCACAATTAAAAGAACCAAAGACTTAAACTACTTCAGTCTGTGTGCATTGAATTTATTTAACACACGAGTTTCACAATTTGAGTTGAATTACTGAAATGAACTTTTCCACGACATTCTAATTTATTGAGATGCACCTGTATAATGTGGCCGGAGGCAGTTAGAGGTTAAGTCATATTGTACATTATTAGACATAGACATAAGAATTAAACTTGATTTAAGTGTGGATGAAGCATGTATGGTAGAGCTTTTGGTTTAAACTGATTTTTTATGTATGAAAGTTTTTTTTGTATATAGTATAGACCACAGCTATAGCTGCTTTCACCCTCTTTTTGCTTCAATCTTGTTTGCTCTTTCTCCAAAACCATCTTTTTCAATTTTTCTCAGATTTTCTCCTTTCAGTATTTTTTTTTCATCTGTGTTTTCAAGTGGTGCCAGGTTTCTGCCAAGTGTGTGTGTGTGTGTGTGTGTGAAATTAAGTCACTTAAATCAGAGATTTTTCTCATGCAAATTCATTAATTTGGCATTTTGGACACCTGTGATGCAACAGGAAGTGAAGATGATGCTTATGTAAGGCTTCCTGTGGTTATACAACTGCTTGACTCTGCACATAGTCACCTCTTTTTGTTGTTTTCTCTTCCTGTCTCGCTCTGTCTCTCCCTCTCACTGAGCAATATGTATCGCACATCCATTCCACCTCCTACTTGCAGGCTTTTTCAAAACTTCCTTCTCTCCTGCAGACAAACTCTATTGTGTAGTGCATTTGATCTTTGTTGGGATGTCTGCTGAGATTGTTAGTGAAGGCAAGCATCTATTGGTCTATCTACATCTAGTATGTGCACAGCAAAATGCTAACAACCAAACAGAACACCTTAGCAACTGTGTAGCAACACCCTGACAACAAATCCACCTCATTTTTGCATTGTTGCTGTGAGTTTTGCATGGGCACCATGGACAAAAAAAGGTGTTACGATGATTTTCGTTGGCGTTACGATGAATGTAAACTTATTTTTGGCAAATAAAAAAATTAAATAAAGTTTTATTTATTGTTTTGATTTCAAAAATTGTGATTAATTATAATTATGACTCACAATTAGGGATGCACGATATTGGATTTTGCCGATATCCGATATGCAGATATTTTTCAACACTTTTTGGCCGATAGCTGATGCCGATACCGATATATTTCCTTTTGTTTGGAAACAACACCAAGTCTCTCCTGTGTGGAAATTATAAGCAAATTATTTTTCATTTTGGTTAGTTTTTAACAAGAACTTAATTGTTAGAATTAAATAAACAATAATAAAGTTATTTTATAATGACAGTACATTGAAGCTTTGAAAATAACTATAAATAAACTATATATCAATCGCTGCATTTAAAAAAAAAAAGATGCAGTAACCTTAACATTGTATTTTAAGATTTAACATTTGTAGATGATCTAAAGCAAAAGAGTTGTAAAAATTCTGAAAATATTTTAGAGCTCATAATTTGTTTAAAAAAATATAACATATTACACATTAATGAATAAATCAATATAGGCTATATCAAATTATTTAATTTACAAGTGTCATGTTTGTGATTTTTATTTATTCATGTAAGCAATAGCTTCTGACCTTTAAATCAAAACATACTCATGATTTTATGACATCAATTACTGCTTTATTTAATCAGAAACATTCTAAATGTTATTTGCGTATTTTACTTTCATTTTATTAAAAGTAGGCCAACAGCACCCCCTACGGAATTAAAACTCCTTACCGAACGGGCATTAGGACCCGGGGGAGGCTGTCACTGCTGCCACTGCATGTGCTATTACTGTTTACTCTATCATACACCGAAGGCGTCATTCTTTCTCAGTTTAAATGCAGCGATCCAAAGCAGTGAAATCTAATCATCATTCAGGCAAAACTGCTTCAAAAATTAGTCACACTGCTAACGTGATCTAATCGCTAGCACACCCTGACCACATATGAGTTAATGTATTCCTGCTATCGGCAAGACATATCGGCATAATGTTTCATATCTGGCCGATGCCGATATGTACATTTAAAGCCATTATCAGCCGATTCCGATATCGGTTTGATAATATCGTGCATCCCTACTCGCAATTGCAGTTTCTAATTTATATCTCATAAATGTGACTATAACTTTATACGGCAAAATGTTATCTCACAATTGCGACTATTTCTTATTAATGCAACTTCTTTACTTGTTACTTCAATTTTATATCTTACAATTGACTTTATTTTTTGTAATTCTGACTTTCTCACAACTGCAACTATTTCTCGAAATTGTGAATTTAACTTAATCTTTCCCACTTTTTTGACTATTTCTCATAATTGCGACTCTATACCTCAAAATGTGATGCTACATGTATATTTCTCAATTGTAACTATTACTAATACCTGCAATATCATATCTCATATCTCAGAATATGACTTTATATCTCATAGTGTGAATTTATATATTTTACACTTCATCACACCTACCTAAGGCAGAAATGGGTTTCCATTTTATTTTTCTTTAAAAACAAGTTTCATAAAATCTTGAACATGAACATTGCTCAGTGAAACATGACCGCCCTCAGTCTGCTGCCCTTCATTTTCTGCACATTTATGCATTGTCGTTCATTTTTACAGTCCAGAAATGTGATACCACTCTTTTTTTAGTGAATCCAGCATCCAGTAATTGGTTATGTTGCACATCATCGCTTTCCATGTGGGCTACGGTGCCTCACAAAAGGCCTTCAATTTCTTCATTTTATTGAAGTGTAAATTCTACATTATAATTTAGATAGAATACTTAAGGGTCTGTTGCAGGAGACTATATTATCTTGCTAAAAAAGGCTCATAAAAATCTCCTCTTTAAGTGACTGATGCTAAC